AAAAAAAAAGACAGAGTCAAGATATTTAACTGAGAAACATACTGCTGAAACTGAATTTTAAAAAGTCAATAGGAATATTTTCCTTTTAAAAGGAAAGAGTGTTTTCCCAGTTTTTGTTTCTTAAAGTGAGGGAGGAACAGAGAGAAGAAAATGAACTTAATGTGTAGCATTATCTTTGCAGTCATGATTTCCAGCTTCATTCTGCTAGGGTACACTTGAGAAATGGATTCTACAAGTCACTGTGGGCCTGTCCCAACCCACGTTTAGGCCAAGAAATAATTCTGATCAATGGGACAGTGCCAAACAGACACAACAGGTTCCACTCGCTGGTCAAAGTGGGTCAGTATGAGCAGTAAGATATAATTATTATTGTAGTTCATTCACTCACATTGAAAGTATGAAGAAGAGTCATGAGTCCATATCGACTAAAATGCAAAATAATAATAATAATAATTTGAATAAAGATTATAAATTGGATAGCCTGTATTACTTTTGAATCCTTAAGTCAAAAGTGTTATTATTATGATTCACTTACCACCAAAGGGAAATACAGACTTTATAAGCATTAAGTACATAGTGTTTTCTGGCTCAAAGAAAGATGCCAACAGAATGATCCCGTAAACTGTTCTTAAAAACATTAAGACTAGCCAGATTACAGCCAGAAGTGTTTTCAAACATGTGTAAACAGTTTACGGTCAAGAAGATGAGAAAATTGCAAGATATCATCAAACTCAAACGCCTCTATAACAAGTATTGTTGTAAAAATTTCTAAATGTATTGAAACCTTATCAAGTGAAAAGGTGTTTAAATATGATATATATCTTCAGAATTAAAATCCAAAATTCAAGTCATCAACCAAGAGGCTAGCAAGTACGCCCTTATGAGGGCCAGAACCAAGTCGTGTGCAAAAGTTTAACCCCGGTACTTGCTTCAGTTCTACAAAATGTGCATCAGCCTCTGAAATCCGAAGTTGGTCACAGGGAAAAGAAAATAATTCTATATGTGCACTTCACAGATACGGAAAGAAGTCAGTGTCTGTTCGTAGGTATAAAATTGAAATTTCAGGAGGATGTAAACAGCATAATCCTTGCCACAAATAGATTGAGAAATCAATGATTTGTTTTCAAGTTTGACTCGAGAATCTCTGCAATGGAATTTCCAGTAAGATTATTTGTCTTATGTTTTAACGTTGGGTTTTTGGTTTTTGTGGTTGTTGTTTTTTTGTTTTTTAAGAAGGCAAACGTTTTTCGACCCTAGTAAGCGCTGGTAAATGGGAGACGGAGGAACAAAACACCAAGGGCTCCAAACTCTTCGACTCCCAGTTTCGCCATTCGGAAATCCGGCTGGATGTAACCCGAGCTCCCCGCACGCCCCGCCGCCCAGCATCCCGAGCAGCTCGCGTGCAGGACTGCGCGTGCGCGAGCAGGCCTGCTCCCCGCCCCGCCCCACCCCCACCCCCAACGCTCGCGCGTCTCGAGCGCCGTCGTGACGTCTGTCGAGTTTAAGACCCTCCTAAAATGCCTCCCGACGGCTGCGCGCCTGCACGGAAAGGCGGGCGCCCTTCGGTGGCCTCTGGGGACCCCCAAGGCCCCGGCCATGTGCCGCTCCCCCCCCCCCCCCCCCCCCCCCCCCCCGCGGGCGGCCCCCCGCGGGGGGCCCCCGGGGCCCCCCCGGGCCCCGCCCGGGGGCCCCCCCCCCCCCCCCCCCGCTCCCTTCCCGGTCGGCTGCAGCCACGGGCGGGTCCGACGGCGCCGCCGCGCGACTTCCGGGACGCGGAGCAGGGAGGGAAGCCCGGGCAAGGCTAGCCTGTGCGCCCGGAGAGGCTGCAGCCTCGAGCGGCGTCCCGGGAGCTGTTGGCTCTGGGTCTGTTGTCGCATCCGATACGCGTGCTGATGCCTGCGGGTCCCGGAGCGTGCATCTTAAGGAACAGAAGTGCACCCTTCCAGAAGCTGTCGGGAGCGCAGCCTCCTGTCCAGCCCTCGGTCGCACCTGCCCTGATACCCGCCTTTTGCCTTTGGAGATCACAAAGCCTTATTGCATTTGATCAGATTAAAGATAACGCTCCTTGGATTGGACGTTTACGGATAGATAGTGTGACATGCTTTTAACACTTTACCTTCAAAACGAAAGTTCCGGAAAACGCACCTTGAACTTTCAGCGTACAATAAAATGAATTTATTTAGTCCCAGTAGGTTATTTTAAACTAGTGCTGATTAACACGTCTTTATTTTTTTACTTGGTGTAGCCCCCAAAATTCTAGAGTTTTATTTCAATGAGTTTCATTTAAAAAAAAAAAAATAACAGCAAAACAAAAATAAATAAACAGCCCTTAAGGGATACCTATCATAAATCCTGAGCAAAGGAGAATTTGGAAATCTGTGAGTTCCTCAGAAACCTAAGTTTGGGTGTGTTTATCTTTTCAGGGGTGAAAGATAGTGTAAGAGAAACCCAGCCATCTAAACCCAAAGCCTTGATATTTTAGCTCTATACTACTGATCAGATCCACAAACATTTCTTTTCTCATGTCAGTTTAGTATTTACCCAAAATGCAAGGTAGTTGTGAAAGTACGATTCGTGATATGTGCACATCTCAAGTTCATTGCATCCATTACCTGCCCATCTACTCAAGTTTTTAAATTTTATGTCTACTCTTCAGTATTTGTTTTCTTTGACAGGTACTTTAAACTACACATGGGTTACACCCTGAAAACCCCATCAAAGGTTGAAATTACTAAAGAATGTGGACACAAAGTCAGCATTAAATAAAGTTAATTAAAGTCACAATAAGAACTTATGCGTTCTAGGAAAGAAAATTAATAACGGTGGTAGATCTTTTCAGAGTAATGCCAGTTTGCCTAGTAGGAAGTGTAATGTAGCCAGTCTTCATGGTTTGATTTATAAGACTCCAGTCTACCATGTTTTAATTTTCTAATGATGTGACATCCGGATGCACTCAACAAACCTTTCCTGAACTGAGGACACCTTCTATATGGCTGTGAGGGGGTTAATAACCATCTCTGACAGCTGGTAGGTAAAACATTAATAAATGTGTTTTGCGCTTATCAGTATTTTCAGCCTATGATGGGTGGGGTTATCAGGATGTAACCTGTTTGTAGTTTAAAATAACTATAACAGGAACCAAGTGGTGATCAGTGGCCCTGTAGTTAAAAAACTTGAGAAGATGGGCAGATGATGGATGCAATGAACTTGAGATTTGTGCATGCACAGTGACTCATCCTTTCACCAATACCTTGCATTTTGGATGAATACCAAACTGGACTTTAAAAGTGACTTGTTCATGAGGTTGTCTTAAAACTAAAAGTTGCAAAATAATAAATCACATCATAATGTATTTTGTGTGACACCCAGAGGTTTAAGGCAACCTCTTACTCTTACCCTCCTGAAGTCCACAGTTCAGAGTCCTCAACTGTAATTTTATCTACGTGATAGCTCCTGAGCAAATTTGTAGCATAATTTCAGTATTTTTCAATTTTGCTGTGCTATTTTCCTTTTCATTTGGGGTTTGACAAAATTGCACAGAATGGGGTGTCTATTAAAATGCTCCACAGTTTACATTTTTAATATTTCATCCTCTTAATCTGTCGAAAACTACTCAACTTTTATTTTCCCAAAATGTTTATTTTAATAACTTATTATATCAATTTTTTACCTAAAGCATTGAGGCTCAAACAAACATTACGTGCAAGATGACAAACTAAACTGTATCATTACTATCAAGTAGAAACCTGGAGTTGCATGAACTTTGAATTGTTTATGTGAGCGGTTCTCTTTGATTAGCTTGCCTTCTCAAAACCTAGAATTCTGAAGTCAGAAGTGCACAGCTGTTGCACAAAAAGTGATCACTGATCACCTGTGTGAAGAAAAAAAAAAAAGCTTTGCCATGTGATTAAGCTTCTAACCACTGGGAGGGACTGTTGGGAATGAACAGAGTTGCTCTTTTCCCCACCAAAAATATGGCAGGGAAATGAATATATTATTATAAATATCAGAAAGGATTAATGTGTGGATTGATGGCCAGAGCCTGAATTTATTTTCAACATCTGCTTTTCCATATGGTAGATGGGTACCAGTGATTCTGTGCCATGTCTATTTCTCCTGGCTTTTCTTCTGTTTTCCCCTGCTTGCTGTTACTTACAGCTATGGTCATCAAAATCACTATTTTCCTTTCTTCCTACCCCCCAGCTCTGTGTTAAATTCCAGTAACCCATTTGCTGTGAAGTCTGAAATCTGTCTTGTGAGCAAGCTCACTGGGTGACCTGACTTGCCTTGGGAAGGAAGGATTGATAGGAAGTCAGCATGTTGCGAAGAAGTCTTAACTCGCTGTATAAATCAAATACAGTATGAGAATTCTCCCTTCTGATGAACTCAGGAGGTGTGTGTTCTGACTTGTATCAGTGAGTCCATCTGGATCAATGACATTAAAGTTACAAATGTTAATTCTTATGAAGATTGCATCTAATAATCCTGGCAAGTGGTTCAACAAATGTCTGCTGTTTGCATTGCAACTTTTGCAGCCAATAGTTGGTGGGAGTGATTTAATGCAGCTGGAGACTAGCACTATCATTATAGCCTGAAAAGTGGGCGCCAAGTTTGCTGTACTTTCTCTCTCTCTCTCTTCGGTCTTAGGACCAATTAATGTTAATCAGATGGTACTTCAATTTTTTTTTTTTTTTTTTTTTTTTTTTTTTTTTTTAATGAGAAAAGAAATGTTGAGCTCTGGGGCAGGCCAGTGCTGTTCAATCGGTGAGAAAGCAATGGTTTCATCTGAGGCTGCCAGCCTTCATCTGCGCGCCCCTCAGCCCCACCTGATTTAAAACAAAGCAAACAGTAGCAAGGTGTGACAGCACAGGTGTGGCTCATTTTGAGAATTCGAGGGAAGAGGCAAAGGGGCTGAGGTGAAGGCGGGAATCCTCAGCCGTGCCTCCCAACTTCTCTGGCTGTTCCTAGTGTCCCTGGTGCCTGTCTCATCTGAGGGTGTCATGCCATCGCCTCTAGCCTTGTGTCGCTACCTCCCTAGCCAGCTGTCACCATCGGTGGACTCACGGCCCTGCAGCAGCCCCTTGGTGGCCCCACGGAAGGCAGGGAAGCTCTTCCTGGGAGCCACTCCTCCCCCAGTCCCGCGGCTGCCACGCCGGCTGGCTTGGTGCTCCATTGACTGGGAACAGGTATGCCTGCTGTACAGGCTGGGCTCTGGGGGGTTCGGCTCAGTGTACAAAGCCACCTACCGCGGTGTTCCTGTGGCCATCAAGCAAGTGAACAAGTGTACCAAGAACCTACGTGCATCCCAGCGGAGTTTCTGGGCTGAACTCAACATTGCAAGGCTGCGCCACGATAATGTAGTCCGGGTTGTGGCCGCCAGCACGGACACACCAGAGGGCTCCAACAGCCTAGGTACCATAATCATGGAGTTCGGGGGCAATGTGACTCTGCACCAAGTCATCTACGGGGCCACCCGCTCCCCGGAGCCTCTCAGTTGCAGACTGAGTCTGGGGAAATGCCTCGAGTATTCCCTAGATATTGTTAACGGCCTGCTTTTCCTCCACTCACAAAGCATTTTGCACTTGGACCTGAAGCCAGCAAACATTTTGATCAGTGAGCAGGACGTCTGTAAGATCAGTGACTTCGGCTGCTCCCAGAAGCTGCAGGATCTGCAGACACCCCCTCGCCACGTAGGGGGCACGTACACACACCAAGCTCCGGAACTCCTGAAAGGAGAGATCGCCACGCCCAAAGCTGACATCTACTCTTTCGGCATCACCCTGTGGCAGATGACCACCAGGGAGGTGCCTTACTCGGGCGAGCCTCAGTACGTGCAGTACGCAGTGGTAGCCTACAATCTGCGCCCGTCACTGGCGGGGGCGGTGTTCACCACCTCCGGGAAGGGACAGACGCTGCAGAGCATCATCCAGAGCTGCTGGGAGGCCCGCGCCCTGCAGAGGCCGGGTGCCAAACTGCTCCAGAGGGACCTGAACGCTTTCCGAAAGGCACTAGGCTGACTCCAAGCAGCCTGTGTGGAGATAAGCTTTTAGTTTCTGTTTATTTTTAAAGAAGTAAAAATGGTGTTCAAGAAAACATACCCCTAGGGCATATTTTTAGAAAATAAAGTTACTGAGAACTTCAGCCTGAAGTGTTTTTCCTAAGACTAAGAAGGCTACGGATGTCATGGGCATCACTGCCCCTTTTTGGTTGTGTTGTCCCCTTTCTGGGCTCCCGGCCTACTGTATCATCTCCATAGTACCGCTGTTAATTAGGTTTGTTAGTGAATGGGGGAAAAAAAAAAAGGAAAAAGAAAGGACATGACCGCTCCTATGTATGGAGGAGAAAGTCTATTGTGGATAAAAGGGAGACATAGTCAGAGGCAGAATCATCTGGCTGGGAGAGTCCAGAGTAGACATGACCCTGAGCCATGTGAGGAGAGGTAGGAGGAGAAGGTTAGGTAGAGGGGATGAGGGGAACCAGGTACAGCAGTTAGGAGGCCCCAAAGAGGACAGGTAACCAAAATGGCTGGATTCTATAGAAAAGGACAGCTGGGGGAAGGGCAGCCTGGCCCTGGGCTGAAGAAGTTCATTCCCCAACCCCTGCATAAATTCAAGTTTCATTTTGTCTGCAACAAAACATTTTTTTTTAAAAGAACACTTGTTAGCCAGAAGAGGTACTCCTTTAATCCCAGCGTACAGAATGCCGAGTCAAGCAGAGCTCTGATTTCTGAGTTCAAAATCATTCTGGTCTACAAAGTGAGTTTCAGAACTACCGGCCTGGATACACAGAGAAACCCTGTCTCAGAAAACCAAAAAGGAAAAACAAAAATGGTTGTTTTCATAACCTGTCACTTTGGCCTGTAATCCCAACACTCAGGAGGCAGAGGCAGGCAGATCTCTGAGTTCGAGGCCAGTCTGGTCTATAAAGCAAGTCCAGGACAACCAAGGTTACACAAAGGGGGTGGGGGGGGTCTCAAAACAAAAATGGGGGTGGGTGGATTGTTTGACTTTCCATTCTATAAGAAAATGCTGTTTGTAATCATTTTCACATACATTTTACAAATTGAAGTTAATTATTTTCTTTCAATCAATAATAATCTAAATGACTTGTAATAGCTTATATTTGAACATTGTCATGAGCAGGAAATTTGCAAAAATACTTCTACACTGGACATTTTTACTTCAGATTTGAGGCCAAAAGCAGATGGCAAAATAAAGTTGTTTTGGGAGGAGCAAATCAGCGCCCAATGCAGAGTGAGGGCTGAGTTCATGGGAAAGGAAAGACCAGTAAGATGGGACTGCTTTCTCTAGAAGTCAAGACACTGGGTGCTGTGGATGGGGCTTAGAAAAGGAAGTCATTGGCTCTCATCATTGGGACAACCATCCATGGAGGGGGCCAGGCAAATGCAATGGCTGGAGGAGTTGGTGGCCAATGCTTGGGGTAGAGGCTATGTGTACTGAAGAAAGAGGTGCAGACACTGCAGGAGGAAAGAGACATGAAACGTGTTTGGTTGGGTTTTAGCATGAAGATTTAAGTTTATTTGTAACTGAAAGCTGAGGGGCAGAGGTAACTGGTAAACTTTTTAAAAATCAAAGAGTTGAAAGATAGGGCTATGGAGAGAGTGTAGCCTTGGAGAAAAGGGACATCTCTCCCAGGACGGGAGGCAAGAACGGGGTAGTGCCACTACTAGGCATGCCTTGGGAAGATGTACTGTCTTCCAGGCTCTGGACTTCTGTCTCTGTCTAGAGTGGTTGAGTAGGGGGTCTACGAGTGGAATTCTGGTATACAGATGTTCTCGGGGGAAGCAAACGTCATCCACCTAGGGACAGGTCATGTTGATAGGATGTTGCCTTTCTGTCCAGGTAGCTACAGGCCAAGAAACAGGTCTCTGGCTTATGATGGCTTGTCTTTTGGTTTGGGTGTCATTCAGCAGAAACTACTCTTGGGGTCTTTTCCCAAGCGATCAGTAGGCAGTCTACATACTCAGACTCAGGCTCATGGCTGGGCAGCAATAGCCAGGCTCAGCCTCCAGTCACTCTCATGCCCCAGCAGTTACCAGCCACTGTGCTTCCAGTATGTTCCAGTTACAGGTGCAGCTGGCTGGCTGCACTCTTGAAGTCTCAGGCTGAGAAGTGATCACAGGTCTGAAATATCCAGGAAAAAAATATTGTACTAACCGGTACAAACTCTTTCCCTTTATGTTTTTCTCGAAACAACACACTATAGCCAATATTCCCAACATATCCATTCAACTAGGCATTATAACCAATTGGCAGAGTGTATAGATTTTATGCAAACACAGTACCATTTTATATAAAGGACTTGTGAGGGTCTTGGATTTAGTTCCTCCAAGAACACCAAGAAACACCATATTCAACAAATGTGAAAGATGGTCAATATTTTCCTATTAAATAGATTTTGTTAGGGTAAATGACTTACCCAACTATAGTACAAGTCAGTATCCTGAACCTGTGTAAGATAGGCTATGTGAGGCTATGATGGTCAGTAGATTGGGTAATTTTCAGTGATATTTTCAATTTATTGAATCCAACACCTCTGAAAGTTGTACAGCACCTATACTTTCCTCCCTAAGTGCCTCAGTTAGGGTTCCCATTGCTGTGACAAAATGCCATAACCAAAAAGCAAGCTGGGGAGAAAAGGGTTTATTCAGCTTATACTTCTATATCACTCTCTGGCACCAAAGGACAGCAGGACAGGAGCTCAAGCAGGGCTGGAACCTGGAGGCAGGAGCTGATGCAGAGGCCATGGAGGGGTGCTGCTTACTGGCTCTCTCCACATGGCTTGCTCAGCCTGCTTTATGATAGAATCCAGGACCACCAGCCCAGCGATGGCACCACCCGCAATGGGCTGGGCCCTCCCTCATTGAACACTAATTGAGAAACTGTCTTATAGCTGGCTCTCATGGACGCCTTTCCTCAATTGAGGCTCCTTCCTCTCTGATGACTCTAGCTTGTGCCAAGTTGACACAAAATCAGCCAGTACCCCAGGGTTGTAACTCAGGTAGAATGTTCTCCTAGAATATGCATGATCCTAGCCTCAACTTCCAGAAATACAAACTAATTAGTTTAAAATACAGTATTTCCTTTTATTTTAGCAAAAATAACTATAGTTGGCAAGTTTTAAATGCACTTAAAAGGAACCAGGTGCAGGGTGCATGCCTGTGATCCCAGCACTCTGGGAGGCAGAGGCAGGCAGATCTCTGTGAGTTCAAGCCCAGCCTGCTCTACAGATCGAGTCCAGGACAGCCTGGACTCCAAGGCTACACAGAAAAACTCTGTCTTGGAAAAATAATACACTTAAAAGGTTACAAGGAGCCTGCTTTTTTCTAGCGTGTTAGAATATGATTCTAACTATATTGAATGTCTCATCCGCAGACTGTCATCTAGCTACAACAGTGCCAACAGGTTTTTACTAGTGTGTAAAAATAGAGGAGTTAAAACTCATCATCTCAAATAATAAGATGAAAGAGCAATAAAAACAAATTAGTTAAATGTATATCACAATTAGGGAAAATTAAGAGAATTTAAAAAAACAGGAATAAAGTTAAACATAAGGTTTTTTTTTAAAAAAAAAAGCAAAATAAATAAGTTTGTTAAATAAAAATCAACATATATTCCACTGTGAGAAATAATCACAAAAGTGGATAATACACATCAAAACAAGATTTTTTTTTAATTAGGAAAAATGCTGTTTGCATAACTTTGAAAATGAAACTGAACACCTGGGAGAATATATGACTTTTTAAGTAACTTACTCAAACTAGCCCCAACTAACAAAAAATACTGACAGTTTGTGTGGAAAAAAAAAAAAAGAGTTGTTCAACTTCTTGTCTACTTATCCTATAAGACAGGAGGCCCCCAAGTCCCACTAACTTCTACTAAAGACTGATCTTTGCTATTCAAACAATTCCATTTTTTTTTAATTTCTTCAAAGAGTAGCATTTATACAGAAACCTAATGAAGATTACTTTAAAATAGAAAAGAAAGAAAGGAGTCATAGGATCTGGAGAGATGGCTCACTCAGACACAATGGCCCCAGAAAACCTAGTCTTTCCATGTGGTGGGTCAACAAAGAATGCCAGAATATAAATATCAGGTGGTTGATGTAACAAAACCAATAAAATTTAGAGGGCATGTTTGAATCTTAAGTAAACAGACAAACAAATGGTTTGCAAAGAATTACAGCAGGACCACAATCCTTTTTCTCTCCTCAAATAGCTTTCTTTCACAGCCTTATGAAGTTTGTTCTCTTGGCTCTGAGTTTTCATGGTGATTCATAATAGTGGAGCACCCAAGCTTCTATTCTAAAGTTTCATAGTGAAGTATTTCCGAGGTTGGTAAACCCAACAGCGTATCCCTGCTCTTTCTGTGTTTTAGGAGAGCTGGTGGAGGAGTGACTTTTATCCAAAGTCTCTCACGAAGAAACAACACCCTTTCCACATTGAGCTTCAAAAAATTGATTTCAAGATATTTCTTGGCCAGTATTGCTAAGGAGCTGTCCAATGTTTTACACCTGGGTGTAAAGTCTCTAGAAATGGCAAACTACCTTTCCAGTCTCCTCCTTGCACACAGTCTCCCCCGCTACGATTCTCTGTACTCTCCGAGTCCTTCAGAAAGCCTTTCTTGCTTCTGCTGCTGAGCTTTCTGGAGTCTCTTTTCTTTGAGGAGCACCAGTTCACCTTCTGCCATCTGATCCTGTTTCTGAATCCAAGTGGCTGCCCACCAGCTCAGCAGCCTGGAGGGACTGCTTCTCTATGGCTTTGAGAATGTGTTGACAGCTCCACTCCCTTCCACTTTCCTTAATGGTCTCTCTGCTAGACTGTTAGTGATGCCTAAAAAGTGAGAGACCTTCAACTCAGAAAGGGGTACATATGGGTACACACACAATCCTCCTCCAACCCCCGCAATCTCCTACCCAGGGTTCAGCCCCAAAGCAGTTGTTAGGACTAGAAACAAGCCATCACTTCCACATTTTCCCCTGGTACAGCCTCTCAAGA